CCGGGGGCTCGAGCCGCGCCCAAGCAGACCGCGATCGTCCACCCTCACAGAAGAAGCCAAAAAACGACATCGGCAGCAACTTTGGGAGATCGGGTGTGGAGTTCTTGGATTGGAGGTCGACCCCTCCCTAGCATTAGGTCGGGCATGTCCTTCTACAGGCGGATTCTGGACGAGGTCCGAAAATATTCAAGACAGATTCAATCATCCAAAACACTCGAAAAATCGTCCACCGACTATTTTTGGACTATTCTTGGATATTCCTCCTGTAGAGGGACCTGCCCGACTTTACCCCAGCACGCGGAGCGCCCTCATGGGGCGGCGCCGGAAGCGCCGCCAGAGGAGCCCCCAGCGCCGATCTCAGAAGACCGCGCGGACCTCCGAAAATGCACGTTTATCGAAATTTGTGGGAATCAAGAGGATGCCGATGCGGCTACGGGGAGGGCATTGGATAAGGAACCATTGGATATATAAGGAACCTAGGGTCTGGAAGAAAGTGGAACTCCAATCGTGCATTGGCCATAGATGACACTGCCGCCTTCGTCAGATAAGGAATCCCCCAGGGTCTGAAGCCTCCTGGGCACATTCCTCAATCAACGCCCCCAACGTACTCCCTGGACCTCTCCCAGGGTGCATTCTGACCAAGATTTCGGGGCGAGTCCAGCCGTGGCGAAGAGGGACGGGCAGCGGTATCGGCACGCTTCCCTGAGATCCGACGCTGCAAAAAGTCAGCAATTCGGCCAAAAATCACCCCAGGAGCCCTAGACTCCATCGTTATGCTGCATATGTCGACCAAGATCGACATGTGATCACCCCGTGGCCAGAAAACGCCTTATATGGAAGGGGTCTCAGGAGTTCCTCCTGCGGCCCTGATCATTGGATGCTCGATTTTGTCGGTCGCGACCAGTGAGATCGGTCGCGACCGATTTTGGGATCGGTCGCGATGGGTCGCTACCGATGTGGAGTGCCGATCGGTCGCTACCGGTCGCGACCGAAGCAAAAATTGGTGTCCGATGATCGGGGGGCCGCGTTCGGGCGTGGGCAGGACCGGGCTGAATGGGATCTGGTTCAGTGATGTGTGCAGGGGGGCCCCCCCCCGGCCCATTCCACTGACTGGAATTGTCGCCACCCGGAGAAGCACCAGCTACGGCCGACCTGGCTTGGTTCTTCTGGTTGATCTTTGGGGGGCTTCGAGGCCCAACCGCCAACCAACTCTCCTTACCCCAGAGCCGTGGCAATAGCCGACACCAGACATCGCATGTCTGGGGCCCTCTGTCGCCAACGGGCCGCTCCACCACCCCCTCCTCCTTGCCGTCGTCGTCCTCCTCCTCCTCCTCCTCCTCCTCCTCCTCATTCCTCTACTTCATTGCTCCTCTTCATTCCTCCTCTTGGTCCCCCTCCTCCTCCTCCTTCTCCTCCTCCTCCTCCTCCTCCTCCTCCTCCTCCTCCTCTTGCCCGCCCCCCCGTCCCCCCTCCTCATCGTCGTCGTCCTCCTCATTCCTCCTCTTCACTTCGCCTCATCCTCCTCTTGCCCGCCCCCCGCCTTCCCCTCCTCATCGTCGTGTCGTCCTCCTCTTCCGAGCACTCCTTCTCATCGTCGTCGTCCTCGTCATTCCTCCTCACTCATTCCTCTTCTTGCCCTCACCACGCCTCCCACTCCTAATCGTCCTCTAGGGAGACCACAAAAGAATGTACGCGCTCAACCACGTACATGAACAGGGCCCCAAAATCCACGAGAGCGGCCGCGTGATACGAACGTTCGCGCCATGCGTACTCTCGAAACCAGCGTGGATCATGTGCGTGTACGTCCTTCTTTCGCTCCTGTTTTTGACGCTGCGCAATCCCAGGGCTACAGCCTGGAGCGCTACTCTTTCGCTCCTGAGTCCTCCTCCTCCTCCTCCGAGCGCTCTCCCTCCCCCGGCCTCAGCTCCAGAGTCCCCCGCCGGCCCCCGAGCTCGATCGGGAGCCGCAGGGACAGGCGCCCGGTCAGCGCGGGCAGGAGGCCTGCTGGGGAGCAGTCGCGAACGGCTCGGGGGGGGGGGTTGAAACGTCGGCCTGGCAGCGGCGATCCTCCAAGGAGGAAGAGGCATCGATACCGCTACCCCCGCCTCGCCTTCGCCTTTTCCGGCCTCCCGGGAGCCCCTCGCCGCCACCCCCGGACGCGCCTCGACGTATTGGTCAGAGCGCACCCCCGGAGAGGCCCGCGGGGAGCAGCGGCAACGGTACCGTTTGGCTCCCCAGAAGTACATCGCCGATACATCGGCGATGCGGTCAGCATCCACAGCACGGATGCGAGGTAAGGGATGCACGACCCTTGGATATCCTATCCGATTTGCCACGTAGAGCTCCTCGGATGTCAACAGGATGGGCCGACGAAGCAGGGATGAGGTCGAACCGGCTCGGGGAGGGAGAACACATCGGCCTGGAATCGGCGATACGTCGCCGATGCATCGGCGATGTATCGCCGAGTTCGATCGAGGAGGGCACGCGAGCGGACACGAGGGCAAGCCCCCGACATCCGAGGAAAAATTAGAAAGGCACAGGGGCACTCTTGCCCCAGGAACGGAGGAGACACGAGACGCGGTACAGTCGGGGCGTTGACCCTAAGGTACCCTAAATAGGGAACGAGGCCCCTCTTGTTCCTGAGTTGAACTTCGATGTCCTAGAACCTACGGGAAACCTGAGGCACGCTCTGAAACGACTAAGGAACGCGGAGCCCCTCCCCAACGAAAAGGGTTCCGTCTTCAGGGCCCCAACTGCACACAGGCCAAAAGGGGGCACCCTCGACACGGCAGGGTAGGAATCAAACTCTACCGCGATGCCCCGATGGCGAGTCCGCACGCTCCTGGGTGGGGGCGGGCCACCAGGGCCCCCATCGGCAACGAGTGGGCGGTCTGGGGTCGATGCCCGCTCGTCCCCGTGAGCCCAGCCCCGCCTACTCCAGATTTCGTAATAAAAGGGAGGGGGTCACAACCCTCCCAGACGAGAAGTTTTAGACCCCCCAGACTATCAATCAAAGGGCGGCCCGACCCCCCCGAACCCTCCAAGACAGCTCAAATCAGAACCCCCCCCGAATGTGACCCCCCCCCACTTTGTTATGGAATGCGGAGGTAACTTTAGGTCGGGCATGTCCTCTTACAGACGGATGTTGGAAGAAAACCGAAACACAGCCAACACAGACTCACAAGCAGCCAAAAAAAGAGCACGAACCGTCGTCCCCCAGGCCATCGTTGGACCACTCCTGGACGCTCCTCCTGCAGAGGGACCTGCCCGACCTCACCCCAACGCTGCCCCCTAACGTTGCCCCCCAACGTTGCCCCCTAACGTTGCCCCCCAACGTTGCCCCCTAACGTTGCCCCCTAACGTTGCCCCCCTCCTGTAAGGGCACTCTTGTCCCCTAACGTTGCCCCCCAACGTTGCCCCCTAACGTTGCCCCCCTCCTGTAAGGGCACTCTTGCCCCCTAACGTTGCCCCCCAACGTTGCCCCCTAACGTTGCCCCTAACGTTGCCCCCCTCCTGTAAGGGCACTCTTGCCCCCTCCTCCTCCTCCCTCCTTCTCCTCCTCCTACCCCTCCTCCTCCTCCTCCTCCTCCTCCTCCTCCTCCTCCTCCTCCTCCTCCTCCTCCTCCTCCTCCTCCTCCTCCTCCTCCTCCTCCCTCCTCCTCCTCCTCCTCCTCCTCCTCCCTCCCCCCCGCTCTGAACCAGTCCCCCTCGGATCGGCACGCCTGCAGTGGGTGCGGGACAATGCGCACGAGGCCCAACAACAAATGAGATCCCAAACTAGGCTGGCAAACCGCCGAGGCCGGACCAGAACGCCCGAAGATCTCGAACTCCGAACTGGACACCTCATCTCGGTGCTTCCCCAATGTCCCCCCGCTCTTTTGGACGCCCGAGATGGGCACGGAAAGAATGGGCACATCGCCCAACAACAAATGTTGTCCCAAATCAACAGCGGCCACTGTTGGGCAGGCGGCCTTCTGTCTCAAATGGACACAGGCCGCGGCGGCGTGGACAGCGAGTCCTGTTCAAAATGAACAGGGACTGCTGTTGGGCATTGTACCCATTCTTTCAGTACCCATTTCGTGCGTGCAGAGCTCTGAACCAATCCCCCTCGGATTGGCACGCCTGCAATGGGTGCGGGAAAATGCGCACGATGCCCAGCAGCAAGTGATATCCCAAACCGACATTCAGTTAGTCCCCAGGCAGACAGTCTCCGCGGCAACGCCGACAGTGATTCCCGTTTCGGGGGGACGTAAGACTCGGGTTCGGGTGACTCGGGTTGGCCTGACGGGGCCATCATGACAATTGACGAGGCCCAGTCTGAAATCTGACGCGAGCTCCCGCTGCGGACATCCCACGAAAAATGGATCGCCCAAATCTGAGGCGCGCTCGTCCAAAAGCGCCAGAAAACCCGAGTCCCGGCGACCTCGAGCCTTACGTTTCCCCGACTGCTCGAAATGGGCAGGGACTGCTGTCGGTCTTCGTCCCCACAGATCCGATGTCGCGATTTGTTACATACGGGGTCCCCAGAAGTCTCGACCCCTTCCCGAGGACCCGTGTTGCCTTTCCCGAGTCGTTTATTGACGGTCCTGGGGCCCGGCGAGGGCCCCTATAGAGGCCGAAAACTGCGAAGCACCTCCGTCTTGATTTGTTAAATACGTTGGATCTCTGCGTCCCAATTCTTTCGGGGGCGCGCAAGCATGGATGAGCGATCCATGGATTTGGCGCGCGGTCGCCAAATCCATGGATCGAGGGAGGTGCCCTCCCCAAACTGCAGCTGGTGCCGCCTCGCTCGGCGGCGGAAATCCGCGATCTCCCATGGCAACGGGACCCGTCGCTATTTCACGCCCCTTGATCCATGTTTGCGATCGCCTGACTTGTTCAATACGTTGGATCTTTGGGTCCCACTTCTTTCCGTACCCATTCCGATCGTGCCGATCTGAACCGATCCCCCGCCATTTGAGCAGGTACCGACCGTTCCAGTATTCATAGTCCCACCACGAAATGTTCTTAGAATCCAAATATGTTCTCATAACAAAAACAAGGTTCTTAGAACGTAAGCCTCATGCATTAAAACAAGACAGTCCCAGCGAGAAATGTTCTAAGAACATTTCGTGGAAAACACCCCAGCTTCTTAGAACATTGTTTGGTTTGGATGCTCGTTCTGGGGACCTTCCTGGAGCCACTCGCTCTACTCGTGCGTCGAAGCTGCGTCGAAGCTGCGTCGAATGTCAGTCGATTTGGGTCGACCCTGAGTCGAACCTGAGTCGAACCTGAGTCGAACTTGAGCCGAATTTGAGTCGAACTTGAGTCGAGCTGGGGTCGAACAGATCCGTGAAGTGGGCTCCAGGAAAAGGTCCCCGAAACGAGCATCGAATTTGGTAGGGCTATAGGCACGCCGGGACGCATCGCCACTGCTTGAGCCATAGTCCCACCACGAAATGCTCTCAGAACCCAAAAATGTTCCAAGAACAAAAGCAAGGTTCTTAGAACGTAAGCCTCATGCGTTAAAGCAAGACAGTCCCAGCGAAAAAAATGTTCCACGAACATCTCGTGGGAACCACAGCAGCTTCTTAGAGCATTGCTTGGTAGGGCTCTATAGGCACGCTGGGACTCTTCGCCACTGCTTGAGTCATTGCCCCTCGAGGCCGGGGCGCACGCGCAGGGCGAGCCGCGGGCAGCCGCCGGCGCAGGTGGCCTCGGGGTGCGCCGGCGCCAGGCCGGCCCAGTCCTCGCGGCGAAGCCAGGGCGTGGACAATACAACATCGGGCCAGTCCCCCTGAGCCCTCCTCCGCCTCCTCCTCCTCCTCCTCCTCCTCCTCCTCCGCCTCCTCCTCCGCCTCCTCCGCCTCCTCCTCCTCCTCCTCCTCCTCCTCCTCCTCCCCCCACCAACCCTCCCACCTCATCCTCCTTCCTCCCGTCTCCTCCTCCCCCGCCTCCTCCTCCTCCTCCTCCTCCTCCTCCTCCTCCTCCCCTCCTCCTCCTCCTCTTTCCTCCTCCTCCGCCTCTCCTCCTCCCCCTCCCCCTCTTCCTCCTCCTCCTCCTCCTCCTCCGCCTCCTCCCCCCTCAGGATCACAAGGACGAAATCGGACCAGGACACACCGCGGGCATCTGATCCAGCGGGTGCGGAGAGTGCGTCGGGCGCCGCGGCCTTCTCGGAGCGACTCGGAACGCTCCAGGAGAGCGTTCCGGAACGCTCTGGAACTATGGTACGGCAGGTTCGTGTCGTGCCGACCCCAGCGTTGGTTTTTGACACCGCAGGGATCGTTCAACCTTGAACGATCGGCCGCTGCCGCAACGTCCGATCGTTCAACGTCGATCGATTCTGGGTCGCCAGCGGCGTTCAACCTTGAACGCCCACGCTGGGGTCGCCGCTGGTCGACACGACGCAAACCTACCGTGCCCTCAGAAAGCCCAGGGTTCGCTCGGGACTGGCTTGTCTCCCCCCAAAAAACGGAAACCTTTCCCAAACCCTCCGAAAAGCCTCCTGGAACCCTTCCCGAAGGGCTTTTTCGGAGCGCCTCGGGAAGGTTTCGGCTGCTTTGAAAGGAGGAGGAGGGGGAGGGGGAGGGGGAGGGGGAGGGGGGAGGGGAGGGAGGAGGGGGAGGAGGAGGAGGAGAGGAGGAGGAGGAGGAGGAGGAGGGAGGAGGAGGAGGGGGAGGGGGAGGGGCCAGTCCCGAGCGAACCCTGGACATTCTGCTCCCCTTGTCCTCGCCCCGCCCGGGTCCTCCACGAGCAGCGACCCGACGTCGGTGCTCACCTCGACGTCGACGGCGCGCATCTCGGCGCCCAGGCCGACGGCGGGCGTCGGCGTCGGGGCGGCGCCGACCCGCGGCGCGGCCCAGACGGCGTGGGGCTCCCCCGCGTCCGCGTCCAGGACCTCCAGCCCCGCGCTGGCGAGCGAGTAGGTGCTCCCCGCCATGACCGACCTGAGACGGAGCCAGGACGAGGACACCATCCGGCGGAGATGGCTCGGCAGTCTCTGAGGTCCGGCGGCTCGGAAGGATGCCTCGGGCGCCGAGGCCTTCGCGGAGCGATCCGGAACGCTCTCAGCGCGTTCCGGAACGCTTTGTCCTCGTCCTAGCCCCGCCCGACGACCACTCGAGCGGCCCCGAGATCGAGGGGGCGTCGTTGGTGCCGACCACGGAGACCGGGACGGTCCTGTAGAGCAATAGGATCAGAATGCTGATCAATCACAGCAACAATAATGAAGCTAAGAAAAACAATAACAACAATCATACTAATGACAAGATTGCTCGGAGTGCGAATCATGCCAAAAATGATTATACTACGAATGAAAACACGAATGCCACGAATAAGACTAATGATAATCATATTACGAGTGCTTAGTAATGATACTAATAAGAATACTACTACGAATACTGATACTATTACTACTACTAATACGAAAGCTAGTCATACAAAAAATAATACTCATAACAATAGTTCTAATAATAGAATTACAGTTAATCCTAATAATGGCTATACTCGTATTGATGCTAACCGTATGTTGACATGTTGTCTCAAAAAAAAAACAGCATACACATGGGTTCTCGGAGGCCTGAGTTCTCGGAGGTGCGCGGGGAGTTCTTGAGCCGGCGCCAAGGCCCCCTCCCTGGCGAGCGAAAAGCGCGTCCAAAAGAGCGGCGCCAGAGGCGCTGCTGTCAGGGGGTGCGGGCGCCGACATGAAAGACGCAGACATCCGAGGAGTCGTGCCTACGCCGCGTTTTTTGCTCTCCGATCCTGGACGCGACCTGGTGGAACACCTCGCTCATCGCCGACTCCTCGACCTCCAGCACGGCGGTGACCTCGTAGATGCCGGGCGTGCCGCAGCGGTAGGTGACGTGGTCCCGCAGCACGGCGGCTGCAACCTCAACGGGCCCGAGCCACTGCAGCGAGGCCCCGCGGAGCGGCGCCCGCGGCTTCGCGAACCTCCTCACCAGCCAGTCGCGGCTCACGCCGAGCACCAGGGTGCCGTCGGACGCCCTCAGGGACACGACCACGCGCCTGCCGTCCGAGGCGGGGGTGTGCCACAGCCGGAACGACGGCAGCCGCACCTCGGAGCCCTCCTCGGCCTCGAGGTTGCCGCCGGACACCTCGAGGCGGACCTGCTCGTCCGCGCGCGTCACGTTGAGCACCACGCGCAGCAGCGCCTCGCCCGCCCGCTGGCCGCTGGCCAGGCCGCGGCCAGAGAGGCCGAGGTGGCCGAGGCCGGGGAGCAGCCCGCTGTGCCCCAGGTCGGTTGCCTCGACCACCACCACGTCCCGGCCCTCGAAGGTCGCGGAGGGGGCGGCGTAGCGAAGGCCGGCGAGGCACCTGTCGACCAGGCGCACCGAGCCGCCGATCTGCCACGCTTCGTCTGGCAGCGCGCCCCGCGCAGCCGTCTGCACGCCTGGGCACTGCGGCTCCAAGATCCGGCCCTCCTCTGCCCGCACGACGACCTCGACGGCGGGGCCCTCCAGCTCGAGGTCCTCGGCGTCTACGTCTCGCAGGCGGACCGCGGGCAGCAGGACAGGCCGCCCCTGGGAGTTCTTGATCCTGTGTTGCTGATCTGGCGCGGCTGTGGCCTGGGTGGATTGCTCGCTGGGCCACGGCCAGCCTGGCTCGACGGATAGCACAGGGGGGTCGTTCATCGGAACGATGTCCACGTCCCAGCAGCCGTTAAAGTACCTGTCCCGACCAAAGCCTCGCGCCCCTGCAACGTCACTGAGCGTGATGCACAGGTGGTCAAGACCACTGTTCTGGATATTAGCATCGGGAAGCGGATAGTAAGTCAAGGTGCCCAAGGCTGTCTGCAAGTCGTGTTTGTAACCCTCCAGCTGGATCTCTGATTCGTTCCGGAAGAGCACTGCAACAGTCTCTGGAGCGTGCAGGGACACGTTGCCCGCGCGCACGCGGATGTACAGAGCGAAGGGCCATGGAGCTTTACTGGGGTAAGCGTCGGCGCCTTTCGAAACCGTGTCTGCATCGTATATGCTGAAGCAGCAGATCTCCAGGGGCACGTCTTCCGTCACCTTTCGGCGGCGAGCGAGGGGGGGAGTGAGAAGGATGAGGCCTTCTGAGAAGGCTGGGAAGTCCCCCATCCTTCTGAGAAGTTCTCTAAGCCTTCCCCGAAGACAGAGCAAAACTTCTCGGAAGGCGCGAGGGCTTCTGAGAAGTCCCGCCGCCTTCTGACAAGGCCTTCTCCTTCTCATTCCCCCCCATCGATCGCCGCCGAACCTTCAGCGGGATCGCCCACGGGTGCTCGGGCGAGAACACGCGCGGGGCGTCATCCTGGGAGGGCATCGCGAAATATGCGAACCACGTCGCCCGGTCGGCCAGGGAGCTCGGCGTGTAGACGCCCTGGCTTCCCAAGCTATCGGGCGCATGGAGCGTCTATGCTTAGAAAGCCCAGGGTTCGCTTGGGACTGGCTTCCACCAAAACGACGACAGCCCTTCCCAAACCCTTCCAAAACCCTCCGAAAAAGCATCCTGGAACCCCTTCCGGGTGGTTTTCTAAGGGTTTCGGGAGGGTTTCGGCTTTTTTCTGAAGGGGAACCAGTCACTAGCGAAACCTGGACTTCCAAGTCTGTACCCAAACATGCGATGCTTTTCTTTTGCTTTCCATGCTCACTACGGGGTCTCTGGAAAAACCGACACCTTCCTCTCGAGCCGTGGCTTGACGGCCCCGGAGCCCGGCAAAGGGCTCCCAAAAGGCCAGGCACTGCCAGAAAAGCCGAAAAAACCTCACGCCCTGTTCTCGGGGACGGACAGACCTCCCTTTAGCAAAACGCGGTTTCGTGAAAACGACCTGAGGCCCAAACCTGGCGGGCGCAAGCCTGGAAAACGACGGCCGCGGCGCCCTCTCGAGAAGCGAGAACGGACCATTCGCTAACCGACGTGTCACTGTCGGGGGTTCTGTCCACCCCCGATGTTCTTTGAAGACGAGAATCCGTTCTGCTCGAGTGGCACGGCGTCCCGCCGCCAAAGGTGGGCAGCGCCGGGGGGCCCACCGAACGCCGCGGCGCAAACCCCGAGGACCTCCGACGTCCTCCGCATCCTGCCTCCTCCTCCCTCCTCCTCCCTGTTCCTCCCTCCTCCTCTCTCCCCCCTCCTCCCCCTCCTCCTCCCTCATTCCTCTTCCTCCTCCTCCTCCTCCCTCCTCCCTCCTCCCTCCCTCCTCCCTCCTTCCTCCCTCCCTCCTCCCTCCGACGTCCTCCGCCAGCACCTCCAGCTCGAGGTCCGCGGCGCTGCACGCCTGCTCCAGCGCCGCCTCGGCGAGCTGGTCCCACAGGCACGCCTCCAGGCGGACCGCCACGGGGCCGGCCGCGGGCGAGAAGTAGTCCTGGGGGGGGGCACAAGAAACGGAATGAGCATAAGCTTATAAGTCGGGCCTGTCCCCCTACAGGGGGAATTTCGACGAAAAATGAAGAATACCCCAAAAATATGCAAAAAATAATCCAACAATAGTCTGGGGACTATTTTTGAATATTTTTTGACCTTTTGGGGCATTTTTGGAGTATTTCCCAACCCTCCTGCGTTGGGTTCTCGTTTTGAATAAAGCACTGCTCGCGCGAATCCCGCCCCCCTCTTCCCCCCTGCCTTTTACCTGGCTCGTCGCTGCGTTTCGAGGGCTGCTGGGGGCTGCGATCTGTGAAACTGTCGCCACTTTCGAGGGCTGCTGGGGGGCCCAGCACAGTCTGCACCCGCGGCGGACTCAAATGGGACCTCGCCATCCCTGGGGGGCTGCGACCTGCGAAACTGTCGCCACTTTCGAGGGCTGCTGGGAGGGGACCAGCACAGTCTGCACCCGCGGCGGACTCAAATGGGACCTCGCCATCCCTGGGGGGCTGCGATCTGCGAAACTGTCGCCACTTTCGAGGGCTGCTGGGGGGCCCAACACAGTGGGTACCCACGGCGGACTCAAATGGGACCTCGCCATCCCTGGGGGGCTGCGATCTGTGAAACTGTCGCCACTTTCGAGGGCTGCTGGGGGACCCAGCACAGTCTGCACCCGCGGCGGACTCAAATGGACCTCGCCATCCCAGCACAGTCTGCACCCACGGCGGACTCAAATGGGACCTCGCCATCCCTGGGGGGCTGCGATCTGCGAAACTGTCGCCACTTTCGAGGGCTGCTGGGGGGCCCAACACAGTGGGTACCCACGGCGGACTCAAATGGGACCTCGCCATCCCTGGGGGGCTGCGATCTGTGAAACTGTCGCCACTTTCGAGGGCTGCTGGGGGGGGCCCAGCACAGTGGGTACCCACGGCGGACTCAAATAGGACCTCGCCATCCCTGGGGGGCTGCGATCTGTGAAACTGTCGCCACTTTCGCGGCCTGCTGGGGGGCCCAGCACAGTGACGCCACACGCAGATTCAAATGGGACCTCGCCATCCCTGGGGGGTTGCGATCTGTGAAACTGTCGCCACTTTCGAGGCCTGCTTGCGGGACCCAGCACAGTGACGCCTCCCAAGTAGCTTACACATCAAGTTGATTGTCCATACAAGTTTCGGCCAACTCATCGTTTCCACTGATACAAATGGGTTGGGTACGTCACAGGGTAATTTTATTTTTCGTCGAAAATCCACATGAAGGGGGACACACCCGACATAAGCATAAACTGTCGGAGGTCCGCCCGGACCTCCAACAGCTCACACGCGTGGCGCCCGGCTGTGCTCCTCGAGGCTCGCTGCTCCCCAGGCCTCTCCCGGGGGTGCGCTCTGGCGAGAACCTCGAGGAGAACCCGGCCGCGGCGACGAGGGCGTTCCAGGACGATCGGGCGGGGCGAAAGGGGGGGATTGGGAAAGGGGGGGTTACGAAATTTGCTGCATGCAGCTGGTTTCGGCTTCACCGAGGGGCCCATTCCTCGATACATGGCCGCCTCCGGCGCCGGGAGGCGCCGGGAAAATCAGCTACGTGAGCTGATTCTCAACCCCCCCCTTTGCTATCCCCCCCTTTCGCCCGACCCGAGACGAGCAGCGGCATCGGCAGCTCTTCCTCCCCGTGCCTGGCCGCGCCGGTGCGCAGCACGCAACGTTACGCGGCGGAGCCGACACGGAGCCGGGCGACACGGGGCTCCACGCGTGGACCGAGCTCGTACGGCTGGCGCACCCGCACGTGCCGAGCCAGGACGCCACGTGCTGGCACGCTGTGTGAATGTGTGTTTGTGTGTCTGTGTCTGTGTGTGTGTGTGTCTGTGTGTCTGTGTGTCTGTGTGTCTGTGTGTCTGTGTGTCTGTGTGTGTGAGTGTGTGAGTGTGTGTGAGTGTGTGAGAGTGTGTGTGTGAGTCTGAGTGTGAGTGTGTGAGTGTGTGAGTGTGTGTGAGTGTGTGTGAGTGTGTGAGTGTGTGAGTGTGTGAGTGTGTGAGTGTGTGAGTGTGTGAGTGTGTGAGTGTGTGTGTGTGTGTGAATGTGTGTGTGAGTGTGTGTGAGTGTGTGAGTGTGTGAGTGTGTGTGTGAGTGTGTGTGTTTGTGTGAGTGTGTGTTTGTGTGTTTGTGTGTTTGTGTGTTTGTGTGTCTGTG